TAACCACTACGCTACCAGAGCTGAATTAAGCACAGAATATAGCATATGACAAGATTCCATTTTTTAAAAATTAAGTGTACACACACACATACACACATATGCGTTCATCTTAACAACTATGTGGGCATACTCAAGAAACTATTAACAGGATTTTCTTGCAGAAAATAAGTGGAAATCTGAGTGAAGAGAACATCTTTTTCCATTTATATGCTTGTGTACTGCTTGAAGTTTTTTGTCATGGGTGTGTATTTTTCCTGTTGTAGCAAAATACACTTAAATTCACCATTTTTGCATGTGTAATTCAGTGGCATTTATTACATTCACAATATTGTGCAACCATAACCGGTAATTCCAGAATATTTTCATCACCCCAAGAGGAAAACTTGTTCCCATTAAACATCATTCTCCATTCTTTCTGCCACCAACCACCAGTCTACTTTCTGTCTCGTAGATTTACCTATTCTGAATAGTTCCTACAAATGGAATCATGCATTATATGGCCTTTCATGTCTGGTTTCGTTAATTAGCAAAATGTTTTCAAGATACATCCACATTTTAGAATATGTGAGTACTTCATTCCTTTTTGTGACCAAACAATATTTCTTTATGTGGATATACTATATTTGGTTTACCCAGTCATCGGTTGGTGGATACTTGAGATTGTTTCTTTCTTTAGGCTATTTTGGCAAATTATTTTCATGATCAATAAAGTAGTTAAAACAAAGCTAAATGATGGAATTGGACTAGGTAATCTGAGGCCTTCTTGAGCCTTGATAGTCTTGGATTTTATGTCATTGCAAAGAGCTGTTGGAATGTGAAACAGGCAACTTTATTTTATTCATTCAAAAAACAGGGACAAGTGCTTCTGGGTCCCTGCATCCCTATGTAGAGCCCTTTGACTGGGTGCATGTACTCCACCTGCACCCAGAACTTTTCCCCTTTCAAGAGGGCAGAGGAGCTGCCCCCCTGGGAGCAGCTGTGCTCCTGGGGCAGAAGGGAAGGGAGGGCCTCAGGAAGGACTTTGTTCAGGGAGAGTGCCAAGCCCACCAAGGAGTATCCTTCCTCTCCTCTCGCCCAGTGTCCAGCCCTACCAGGTTTCCGAGTGCTTTGCTCCCAGAGTCCCCTGCTTACCCATTCCATCTCCTCCTCTTTTAGCCTTGATACCCCCAGTCCACCTCACAAAGGATGTCCTGAGCATCTGAGCATCTAAGCCCTCAGCATGCTTGCTGGGAAAGGCAGGCTCTGTAACTCTGTTGGGTGAATGTTACTGGGAATTTCAATGCCACCATAGCATAGTGGTTATGAATTGGGCTGCGAAACACAAGGTCAGCAGTTTGAAACTACCAGCTGTTCCGTGGGAGAAAGATGAGGCTTTCTGCTCCTGTAAAGATTTACACCCTCAGAAACCTTGTACAGGGTCTCTATGAGCCAGAACAGACTCCACAGCACATAACAACAACAACAATAACAACTGTAGGAAACAGACGGACAGGAGGGAGTGGGAACCCAGAGCAGTGCTCTGAGGAGTCCATATTGGAAGGTGGTACTCTCAGTTCTAACCCAGGCTCTGTCACTAGCAAATTGCATGTGGCCTTGGTTTCCTTGTCTGTAAAATGGACTGATTTATACTCACCTCCCTGCCTTGTAGGAATCTGAGACGACAGTAATAATGATAGGTGGCACTGTCTAAGAAGTCCTGTTGGTGCTTTGGGTTAGTCATTGGACTGCTAACTACAAGGTCAGAAGTTCAGGCCCACCAGGCATTCTTCAGGAGAAAGATGAGGCTATCTGCTCCCGTATTTTAAGATTTATAGCCTCAGAAACCCCAGGGAAAAGCTCTACTCTGCCCAATAGTCACTATGAGTCAGAATGAACTCGACGGCGGTGAGCTTGGTTTTTTGGTGTTGCATTTGTCTGGCACCACTGCGCTGAGAGTTTCTATGCATTGTAGTACTTAATGCACTTCATGGGTGAAGTGTCAGAAATGGGGAGAAAACTTTTTCCCCAAGTTGACTCCATAAATGGTAGAAATAGGATTTGAACTCAAATCTGATCAACCCCAAAGCACATGCCTTAACCACCCGAACTTCAAAACATGTTCTTGGGTCTGCATACATCAGAACAATCTTATTGGTGCAAAAGGAAAAAAAAAAAAATCCAATTCTTTGGAATTCAGTATATTTTCTATTTTTATATGTACTTAGAAATTTTCTACTGAACAAATTCTAATGCAGATTTCTCAGTCCATCTCACTCCAGTGAATCAGAGCTCTGCATTTTTAAATGATCCCCAGATAAATCTGATGCAGAAATCAAGTTTGAACTACTCCACGAACCCTTGTGGAGTCCTGGTGTGGTGCTGTGAGTTAATGCGCCAGAATGGAAAGCTTTTTGAACTGCAAGGTTGGTGGTTCAAGCTCAACAGCTGCTCCTTGGAAACCCTATGGGTCGGAACCAACTTGACGGTACTTAACAACAACAACAACACTAACCCTTGTACTACACTACTTCCCAGTCACAAACAAGAATGTGCTGTGAGAATTCAGCTTAGGTAGTAGCTGTTGGAGTCTCTATTTGTGTGCATCTTTATTCGCTCTGCTAGTCCTGTTCTTCCTTTGTGGTCCCAGGGGTTTTGAAGGCGATTCTCTTTGACAAAAGGCGGGATATGTTAGAAAGTGAGTGGAATGACTGAGGTGGAAAATGAGGCAAAGGCAGAGCAGAAAGGGAGGGAAGGAGGAAGGGCTGAACCCAGGCAACTGGTAAACCACAGCCCACAGTACAGGGATCCGAGTTGTGGCATAAACCACCCTTATGCTCTGGGATCATGCTCTGGGTCATGAAGCATCAGTAGAAGTTCTCTAGTAGAAGATAAGCAGAGACAGGGAATAGCATTAGCACAGGCCTAGAGGTGGCTCTTGGTGACAGGGACACAGAAGCGAGAGCAGATGAGACGCTGAGAAGAAGTCCTGCACCTTAGTCAAGGAACTGTAGGGGACCCCCACTCTCTGCCCCAACCCCGGCCCCTGGAGTCTGCCTGCATTTCTCCCAAGTGGGGGCTCTTTCTACCCATCCTACAGACAGCTGCAGCCCGGCCCACTCGATTGTGGATGGCTACTATGAAGATGCAGACAACAGCTACCCCACAACCCGGATGAATGGGGAGCTGAAGAACTCGTGTGAGTACTGGGCATCTGAACAGGGTCTGTCCCCGTGAAGAGCAGGTGTTGACCTAACCCTCAGTGTTGCGTGTCCACTCCCCATCAGCACAGATGTCCAAAAGCCCTTGGTCTCAGTGACCCCAGGTTCAGTGGAAAGAGCACTGAACTGGGAGTTAGGGCCCAGGATCCAACCCTTGCCTTGGTTCTTAGTAGCTGATCTTTGTTCTCTTGGAGCCTCAAGTCTCCTTACTGATAAAACAGGGGTTTTCTGGGTCACTGTGACATCATCTGAGACAGTGAGTAGGAAGTGGTTGATGATAATGACAATATGACAGGAACTGAGGTTTATTGAGCACTTACTGAGTGGCAGACACTTTGCTGAACACTACATGCATTGATCTGCAAGTAGCCTGATGAAGTAGGTACTACCAGTCATTATATCCATTTTACTGAAGGGGACACTGAAACCCGAGATGTGACAGAAGTCACCAAGCTCACAAAGCAAGTGGTAAATTTCTAAAGCAGAGCATATGTGTAGGGGGTTTAGCCACAACCCTGGCTACAACAAAGAAGGGATGTGTACACAGGGGCAAGAAGGTGCTTCCTCAGGGATGGCACAAGTGACATGTCCTGTCCACGGCTCTTCCAGACAACGACTCCGACGCCATGAGCAGCTCCTACGAGTCCTACGATGAGGAGGAGGAGGAAGGGAAAGGGCAGCAGCCCACACACCAGTGGCCCTCAGAGGAGGCCTCCATGCACCTGGTGAGAGATTGCAGGATATGTGCCTTCCTGCTGCGGAAAAAGCGCTTTGGGCAGTGGGCCAAGCAGCTGACTGTCATCAGGGATGACCAGCTTCTGGTGAGTGGTGAGGGGGATGGGGCCTGGCAGCTTCCCCAGGGCTTGTATACGTGCTGTTCTCTGCTCATGTGTGTACCTGGCATCTGTGCTGGGGATACCAGGGCCTGCTTTTTGCTCTGAGGTGCAAAGCCCAGTGCTTCTGAGATCTGCGCTCTCCCACTGGAGCCAAACTTCAAAAACGGCTTTACCAGGTGTTTGTTTTGCCAGAGAGTTTTTTGTTAATTTTTTTTTTAAGTTTCATTGCTTTTTATTATGCATGTGCTTATTTGTAAAACTAGTGACAAACTATAAAAGCCATCCATAATCCTATTGATCAAGAGATAAGACAACATCCCCCCTCATTTCCATACAGCTATCATTTACTTAAAAAAATACAGCACTGCTTTCTTTAAAGAGCATTTTCTTTAATCTACCATGTCTTAGCACTAAGACTCCTAAGAGGAAATACACTTTGAATTCCAAAGTAGGAGAATGGACATCATTTTCAGGAAAGAGCTTTGCCTAACATGTATTCTGACGATATAGACCTTTCTCACCCTTCTCACCCGGGTGTAGTGAAAAGCTCATTACAGACTAGCGCCAGCCCTAGGGACATGCTTACTTCTTTCCACTCCTCTGTCTTCTAGTTCTTTTCTTGAGGTATTGCAGTGGTTAGCACTGCCAGCACGGTGTAGACTAGAAGTGGTGAATGTGAGCATCCCTATTTCTACCCAGAACACAGAGAGCCCATTTCAGTAACTCACCATTAGGGCTGACGTTTGCTATAGGTGGTTTGTAGATAGTCTTTATCACTCTGAACAGGCACCTCTCTCTTTCTTGTCTACTAAGAGTTGATATCACAAATGAGTATTGAATTTTTTCAAATACTCTTCCTGTGTCCATTGAAACGATGACCTGATTTTCCTCCGTGAGTCTTCCATACAGTGAATTATGGAATGATAAGTCATCCTTGCATTCCTGGAAGGCCCCTGTTTGGCCTTGGTGGAAATGGTTAATGTGCTCGGTTACTAACTGAAAGGCACCTCCAAAGAAAGTCCTGATCATCGAATCCTGAAACATCAGCAGTTAAACACCCTGTGCATCATACATAGCTCTATGCTGACAAACTTGGGGCACCGTGAGTCAGAGTTTGATCTAGATGGATACGCTTTGTATTTATGTCTAGATTCTATTTGGACTCCTGGTGTGGCACTGTAGAATAATGCACTGGAACCACAAGGTCAGTTTGAACCACAAGGTCGGTGGTTCAAACTCACCAGCCACTCCTTGAAAACCCTATACAGGGTCTCTATGAGTCGGAACCAACTTGACATCACTTAACAACAAGAACAGATCCTATCTAGGAGTGCTGGTGTGGCAATGTAGGTTAAGCACTGGGCTGCTAACCACAAGACGGACAGTTCAAACCCACCAGCCACTCTGTAGGAGAAGGATGAGGCTTCCTGCTTCCATAAGCTTTATATCTTCAGGAACCCTAGACAGGGCTGCTATGAATTGGAATCGACTCAATGGCGATGACGGAGAGATTCTATTTACAAATATCTTTTTAAGACTTTTCACATCTATGTTAGGAGAAAGATTCGCCTATAATTTTCTTTTCCAGTAGCCTCATTGTTAGGTTTTGAAACGATGGCAATAGGAGAGCCCTATAATAGGAGTTGGTACACTCCATCTCTGCTAGGATTCTCACCCACATCCCTGCCATGTAGCCTTGTAATCACATGGTGCTTACTCCCTCCCAAGCCAGCTCATCTCTTTTGTGGTCCTTTGGGCTAGAATGGTCTTCCAGTATTGCGTCAGTATCTGTCTCTTGCTGATTAGGTAGTTGTGCCCTCTGAGATCCCTCCACAACCCTTCAGATCTGAAGAGTATCTGGTGCCCTCCCAGACTTCTCTTCTCTGAGTGGACAGCTTCAGCCCCTTTGTTGCTCCTCACACAGTGCCCATGGTTGGGTTGGATGGGATCAGTCGAGCTTCCCTGAATATTTTTGTGAGAGTATCTCCCTCTTCCACCTTCCCTGCCTCTCCCTCCAGGAGGCCCTGACGACCCCTTCTCTCCCTTTCCAGTGTTACAAAAGCTCCAAGGACCGACAGCCACATCTGAGGCTAGCCCTGGATGCCTGTAGTGTCATCTACGTGCCCAAGGACAGCCGGCACAAGAGGCATGAGCTACGCTTCTCCCAGGGCAGCACAGAGGTTCTGGTGCTGGCACTGCAGAGCCCGGAGCAGGCTGAGGAATGGCTGAAGGTACGTAGGTCCAGTGTCCTCCCACCACCCTGGCCCTCCCTTGCTTTCTCTCCCAGGCCTAGCCCTCAGTGGGGTTGCCTCCTGTCTCAGGAAGAACCAGGCCTTGCTTGGATGAGAGGCGATGAGCGGTTTGAGTCCAAATGTTTTGCACATGGCTTGGGCTTACTTGTGGACACAGGTCCTGAATAGCTCCCAGAACAAACCCCATCCTGGAAGTCTATGTTCCTTCCTACAATCTGTCCTGTGGGCGTTATGGCTTACTGTCGAAGAAAACTTTTTGTATCATCAGGCTAATCCTTAAAAGGAAAGAGGAAGTGTGCGTCCTTGTAACGTCCACCTATGGTCCTCTGTCTGTATCTGTGCACTACCCAGGACAATTGGAGTTACCACAGATTGAGCCTCTATGTACACCATACACCATACTCTTTGCAATGGGATTATTATTTTTCCCATCTTACAGATGAGGAAACTGCTGAGGCATATAGAACTTGGACGGCAGGGTGCTAAATATTACATAACAAAGTGATTGGAGCCAGGATTGTTGTTGTAGTTAAGTGCCATTGTCGAGTAGATACTGACCCATAGCAACCCTGCATAGGGTTTCTGAGGCTGTAAATCTTTACAGGAGCAGAATGCCTCATCTTTTTCCCACGGAACCACTGGTAGTTTTGAACTGCTGACCTTGAGATTAGCAGCCCGATTTGTAACCACTACACTACCAGAGCTCCTTGGAGCCAGGATTAGACGCCAATAAAAAAGCCTTCCCTAAAAACCACCCTGCTGCCCTCCACATGACTCTGTGGAGCGGTGAAGGGAGGGTTGTTATTGTTGTTAAGAGCCTATGAGTTGCTCCCAACTCATAGCAACCCTGTTTCCAAAGAGCATCTGGTAGGTTTGAACTGTCGACCTTGTGGTTCACAGTCCAGTGCTGATCCTACAGCACCACATCTGGTAAAGTAGCATAATAATGATGAGGGAGGACTGGTGGCCCAAAAAGATGGGTTCAGGCCTAAATGTCACTGACTTCATTGTAGGACAAACACTGGGCTGCTAACCGCAAGGAGAAAGATGAGGCTTTCTGCTCCTATAAAGGTTTACAGTCTGGGAAACCCTAAACAAGGTTGCTATGAGTCAGAATTAATTCGAAGGCACTAGGCTTGAGTTGGGGGCGGGGGGGAGGGGGGGGATTGGTTGGGTGTGATCTTCTGCAAATGGTTTAGCCGCTCTGTGCCTCAATTGGCTCATCTGTAAAATGGACATTATGTTTAATGATTGCCAGCAACTGCTGTTATAGCGATGATGGTGCAACCTCTATTCTGTCCCTCACAGCAAACCCTCCTCCCCCGTGTACTCAGCCTCATTTTCTCTCCCATGCCTTCTCCTCCTGGTCTTCCTGCTGGAACAATGAAACCAGGCCCTATTTCCCTGCCCTCCCCTCCCTCCCTCCCTTCCTTCCTGTGATAACCAGCTCTCCCACTAGAGTGGCTAATGATACTCATTGCTGCCTTTGTCTCAGGAGCAGAAAAGAGGGAGAGAGCCTGCTTGCTGGGGGAGCCTCTGCCCTCAGAGGGCGGCTGGGTAATAGGAAGCTGCTGAGTTAGGCACCTGCCTTGGCATCCCCATCAGCCATTCTGTCTGGATTTGGTTGTTGGCTCTGCTACAACAGGTGGCTTCACCTCTCTGCCTTATCATCCATATCTGTGAGATGCTGGGGAAGTCCATGTCAAGTTGCCTGGTGGTGAGCAGTACTGGGGGCTACCATTGTCTCATGATCTGGAAGCTTCCTGCTGGGTGGCACCTGGTGATGGAGGAACATCCTGGGCTCTCAGCTGTCACAGACACCACACAGGCTGTTGTCAAGGTCCGACAAGGTGGCAAAGATGAGTCCCTCAGCATGTGCAGGCTGTTAAGGGTCCATGATATCACTGGTCCTCAGACAACACTAGGAGGTAAGGAGGGCCAGTATCATGCCCATGTTACAGATGTGGAAACTGAATCTCAGAGAGGGAAGTGGCTTCTCCAAAGTCATACAACTAATAAGCAGTAGAGCTGACTGTTGACACGAAGTCCCCTGATTTCCAGCCCCATGTCCTTTTTAATCCAAGAGACAGACACAGGAGAAAGCCTTTCACACCCTGACATGTGGCAGACAGCCATGTCCACCCTTCTCTTCTCCCCAGTGTCCTCAACGCCCCCCTTGCTTGATGGCCCTGACCACATAGCACCGTCCTCCTCCTCTGTCCACCTGTCCACAACTATGTTTGCTCTCCACAGGTCATCCGAGAGGTCAGCAAGCCCATAGGAGCAGCTGAGGGTGTGGAGGGCCCCAGGTCCCCAATCCTCCCATGCAAGCTGGACATGGACAAGGTACATCTGTCTCTAGCAGGTCTCCTCAGACTAAGGCAGAGGGACTCAGCCCAAGCTGTGCCCTAGAGAAGCCCACGGTCACATGGTAGAGTCAGGCAGCCACTGGTGACAGTGGGGCAAGTTGTGAGAGCCGTAACCGAAAGCCAGTGCCCAGCACAAGCTGGCACAACCACGGGTGCTCAATAAATGTCTACTGAGTTCATAAGTGCATATATGAATGAAAGCCCATGCCTAGGAACTCCCCCCATAGTACCACATACCTAGCAGGCACTAAGTTAATAGCAGATGAGGAGATGGATGAATGAATGATTGGTTCGAGTCAGTATAATGAGTAAAAATAATTTTGTCTGGCAGTGAAGTCGCTAACATGGAAACTGGGTGTTGACCACCTTCTTCCTCAAGCTATAGTCCTAATCAACTGCTCTCATCATCATTCACTTTTATTGGTCACCAAATCCTAAAAATATCTGCCAGCTCACCTCCTTTCCCCATCCTCACTAGTATCTTGGCTCATCCCCAGATCAAGTCTCATCTTATCCAAGAAGATACTCTCTTAAGTGGTTCTTTTGCTTGCAGTCTTGCCCTGTTTTATCTGTCGATCACAATGCCACTAGAGGGACTTCCTAAATCCAGTTGTGTTACATTGTTGTTGTTAAGTGTCATCAAGTCCATTCCAACACATAGTGACCCTGTATAGGGTTTCCGAGGAGCGGCTGGTGGGTTTGAACCACTGACATTGCAGCTCAAACTGATCTTGGGGCCCAGTGCATTCTCCTGCAATGCCACCCCAGGACTCCTGTATTACATTACTGCCCTGTTTAAATACCTTCCTCCCTGTTACCTAGCAAATACAGTCCAAATTCCAAGGACATTTATCTCAATGTATTACAATTGTCTTACTCCCCAGGATGACCACGAGGACACAATCATGTCTTAAATCATCATTGTCTTCCCAAGACCTGGTATTGTCTCAGGCACATGAGAGCTACTGACAAATGTTTCTTAACTAATTACCATGAGGTGGGTTTGAACCAACAAACGGATGCTTCTGAGTGCCTCTGACGTGGGGCTGTCTGTGTCCCTCCCCAGAGACTGTCCCAAGAGAAGCAGACCTCAGACTCTGACAGTTTGTGCACAGGAGACAACTGTTCCACCCTTGGCCGTCGGGAGGCCAGTGATCATGGTAGGGACTTCTGGGGTTCCAAGGCTGGGAGGGGCACACAGTGGCAGAGCAGATCCTGAGCTCTCTGTAGAATGGGGTACAGTGGCCTGGCTCATCCACACATGGGGCTGCGTGCAGACCTTCTGTGCAGGGTGAAAGGACCACCAGGAAGGCTAGAGCTGGGTGCAACTGGAGTTTGAGGCTCCCTCCCCTCCCCTGACCCATCTCCATGGCAACAGGTAAAGGGAAGAAGAGCAGCCTGGCTGAGCTAAAGGGCTCTATGAGCAGGGCTGCAGGCCGCAAGATCACCCGCATCATCAGCTTCTCCAAGAAGAAGTCACTAGCCGATGAGCTGCAGACGTCCTCCACTGAGGAGGAGGTTCCATGCTGTGGTGGGTACGGGCCATGGGGAGGAGGGAAATTCCAGGTTCCATCAGTAGAGTTTCTGGCGCTAAGGCCATCTCACACCCAAAGATGGGAGAGGAGCCACCCCATCCACTCTTCCTGATCTATCACTCTCTCCCATGGGACCCTGATACTCAGCAGAAGGAAATGTTAACCGATCCCCTATTTCTCTGCCTCCTGTAGGCCTTAGTGCAAATCACTGTCCATCTCTGGGCCTCAGTTTCCTCCACCATGACAAGGGAAGAGTATCAAATTTCCCACTATATAGCATGTCTCCTGTGTAAGTTACAACCCAATCTTAAAAGGAAATTTCTTGGGTACAAATATTTAAGTACTTTCTATTATAAATATGGAGCATGGTGGCTCCACATGATAAGCACTGGCCTGTGAACCACAAGGTCCACGGTTCAAGCCTACCTCCCCAGGAAAAAAAATGAAGCTTTCTTCTCCCGTGAAAATTTAAAGACTTGGATTTATAGGGTCGCTATGAGTCGTAACCAATTTGATGACACTTAACAACATTATAAATATGGTAAACAACCATTAAAAATGGCTTAGAGATTATTTTTATTCATATAAATATGGTGTTCCATATACTGGAATCCAGTAGAATATATATATATATATAGGATCAACAGTAATATTCTACTTAGAAAAAATAACTATAAAAGCACATGGATAAAAAGAAACATTTTGTAGTTAGTGGCTAGTGCTTCAGAGCACAAGATATAAGATAAATAAATTTAAATCTAAAATGTTAAGAAGGAATTCTACCCTGTTCTCTTCATCTACATAGCCTGAGCCTGACTTTGTATAGAATTCTCTATCTGCACTGCATATACTTCTTCAGACACAGTGCCACTAGGTGGCAGCTACAGCCATCATTTTAGGTCTTTTGGTAATTTTAGTTTTAGAGGGTGGATAGAATAAAAGGCAAGAAAGAGAGATATGGTCTTTATGTATCAAATATCGTTTCCACCCTTTATATCAAGCTTGATATAGTCCAAAGTCTGTGTATACTGTGATGATCAGCCCACCACATGGCTAGTTAGTGATCCTCCAGTTGACTCAGACTCAGGGTGGCCCTTGTGTGTCAGAGTAGACTGTGCTCCACAGGGTTTTCAGTGGTTGGTATTCCAGAAGCAGATCACCAGGACTTTCTTGTGAGGCACCTCTGGGTGGACTTGAACCCCAACCTTTTGGTTGGCAACTGAGCATGTTAACTCATAGCGAGGAAACTGAAATTTAGAAATGAGAGGCAGGTGGGGAGTGAACTGATCCAGGACCCAAAAGACCTTTGTTCTCTAGCTGGACACAAGGTTATCCTGGGCCCTCTGTCCTGACCATGTATCCCCCACACCTGGGTTTCCCCCAGGCTGGGCTTTCAGGAGGTCACATCCCTGGTTGTCCTCCCAGGCTATCTGAATGTGCTGGTGAACCAGGGCTGGAAGGAACGCTGGTGCCGCCTGAAGTGCAACACTCTGTATTTCCACAAAGACCGCACGGACCTACGAACCCACGTGAATGCCATCGCCCTCTGTGGTTGCGAGGTGGCCCCGGGCTTTGGGCCTAGACACCCATTTGCCTTCAGGATCCTGCGCAACCGACAGGAGGTCGCCATCTTAGAGGTGAGAGGAGAGACCCAGGTGGGCTTGGGTGATAGGAGTGAAGAGGAGCTTGTCCTCGTGAGGTGTTTTGGTTTTTGGTTTGGGAGACCTTGTACTGATACTCCAGGGACTGTGGAAGGGAAGCAAGTCTAACTGCTGTAAAATGATACAAGCAATGTTTCCAAAGAAAATATGGACCATTCACTTACATTTGAAATTCAAATAAACAAATCATTGTTAACGTCAGTATATGGCATGCAATATTTGGGATATTGAAAAAGTATTCATTTATCTGAAATCCAACTTTAAGAGGGCATTCAGAATTTTTGCTTGCTAAGCCTGACAACCTCAGGCCCAATGTTTGTTCACTCACCCTTACCTTAGAATTCCAAACCTAAAAGGCATCTAGTTTGGCCCAAATCCCAATCTGACTCTGGAATCCTCTCTCAAACCTTCCTACCAAGGGCCATCCATCTTAGATACCTTTCAAGAGAACCTAATCATCCATAGGTGGTTTGTTGTTGTTAAGTGTCGTCAAGTCGATCCCAACCCATAGCGACCCTGTATAGGGTTTCCGAGGAGCGGCTGGTGAGCTTGAACCACCGACCTTGCAGTTAAAATGGCTTTGCAGTCTGGTGCCTTAACCCACAGTGCCACACCAGGTGGTAGTGGTAGTTATTTACCACAGAGGCAGTTTTGACTCATAGTGACCCTGTGTAGGGTTTTCAAGGCTGTAAATCTTTATAGAAGCAAAAAACCTCATCTTTTTCCCATGGAGCATCTGGTGGATTCGAACTGCTGACCTTGAAGTTAGCAACCCAGCGCACAACCCACTATACCACCAGGGATAACCCATCCTTACCAATCCCACAGAGCCACTCAAATTTTTAGAAAGCTTTTCCCCAGGTTGGGTTGAAATTTTGAAGCTCTGTGAAGGCAGTGACCATACTTGGTTTTGCATACATTGTTTTTCCAGAACCAAACATGGCGCCATCAATATTTGCTGAACAGATGACTGAACACAGTAGCTCTACTCTGTGAGGTTGCACAGAATACATTGACCCTGTCGTCTACGTGTCAATCCTTCAGCTAGTTAGAATTTAAAATGTAAACACTGGCACTGCAGGATCAGCACTGGACTGCTAACCACAAAGTCGGTGGTTCAAACCCACCTGCTGCTCCTTGGAAACCCTACACAGGGTTGCTATGGGCTGGAACCAACTTGATGACACTTACAAAAGGAGTCCTAGTGGCATTGTGGGATAAGCATTGGGCTACTAACTTCAAAGTCAGTAGTTTGAACCCACCAACAGCTCCATGGGAGAAAGATGAAGCTATGAGCTCCCGCAAAATTTTGCAGTCTGAGAAACTCTAAGGAGCAGTTCTACTGTGTCTTCTAGGGGTCGCTATGAGCTGGAATCCTTACAGATAAAGAAACTGAGGTGGAAGGTAGCGTAGTGCTTTGGCCAGGGTTCCAAAGAGAATCTGCTGTAGTTCCACAACTGCAGCGAGGCTTCCTCCTCTCACTGCCCAGCACACACTGTCTCCCACAGTTCTTAAAGTTCAAAAAAATGTTCCCTCTGTACTTCCATATTTGGTCGTTTGAGATGGGCCTCTTATTTCCCTTAACTTATTCACACACATGGAGCTTTCTAGCAAAAAGTATGCTTCCATAAAACATGAAAAAAAAAAAAAATGTAATGAGAAAAGTACAAAATAAAAAACTGAAAATGTTCATGGGAAAAAAAAAAAAAGTATGCTTCCTTTATTCAAGTTCAGCCTTTGTGTGCTGAGTTGATTATCTAATATTGATCTTGACATGAGAATTAACTTCAGCATGTGTTTAGCTGACCAATAACTTTTTGGAGATTGTCCTGTATACAAGTACTATAAATATCTGGCAATTATAATACAAGCAGGTGGCACTATGGACTAGGCACTGGGCTGTTGACTGCAAGGTCGGCAGTTCAAATCCACCATCTGCTCCACAGAAGAAAGATGACACTCTGTGCTCCCTTAAAGATGTGTGGTCTTGGAAACCCTATGAGTCAAAATCAACTCAGTGGCAGTGAGTTTGGTTTTTGAATATGAAAAACTGCCTCATATCTATAATAAAAAGTAAATAAAAATTTTGAGAACGGGTAATGGTGATTGATGGCTGAGTAACACGAAAAACATTTAATGTTACTGAATTGTGCATGTGAAGATTCCTGTAATGGCAAATGTTTTGCTATCTATTAATTACTAAAATTTAAAAAAAAATAAATGTAAAAAAAAATCTGTGAACACCAAATGTTTTTACATCTGAGTGGTTGGGAACTCCTGAGGTTACACAGACAAGGGTATGTTACCTAAGAGAGGTGGTCAGGGAGGGCTTGTCTGAGGAGGTGGCATTTAAGTAGTAACCTGAATGTTGTTGTTGTTCTTAAGTGCCATCGAGTCGGTACCAACTCACAGCGACCTTATGCACAGCAGAACAAAACACTGCCCGATCCTGGGCCACCCTCACTATCATTGCCATGCTTGAGTCCATCGATGCTGGCACTTGGCCAATCCATCTCATTGGGGGCCTCCTTTTTTTCCTCTGACCCTCAATCTTACCAAACATGATATCCTGCTCCAGCGACTGGTCCCTCCTGTGACAATATGTCCAATGTATGAGAGACGAAGTTTGGCCATCTTGGCCTCTAAGGAGCACTCTGGCTGCACTTCTTCCAACACAGATCTGTTTGTTCTTTTGGCAGCCCATGGCACTTTCAATATTCTCCTCCAACACCATAACTCAAAGGCATCAATTTTTCTATGGTCTTCCTTATCCACTATCCAGCTTTCGCATGCATGTGAGGTTATTGAAAATACCATGGCTTGGGTCAGGCGCACCTTAGTCCTCAAGCTGACATCTTTGTTCTTCAAGTGACCTGAATAGGGTGAGAAAAAAGAGGCACGTGGATGTCTAGCTATGTTTTCTAGTCTTATTCCCCTTTGACCCCCAAGTATTGGGTATGTGATAAAACCAAAACTGGACCCATTGCCATTGAGGCGATCCAACTCATAGCAACCCTGTATGGGATTTCTGAGACTACAAATATTTATAGAAGCAGACAGCCTTATCATTTTCCCAAAGAGCGGCTAGCAGTTTTGAACCACTGGCCTTGTGGTCAGCAGCCCAATGCCTAACCCATAGGCCACCAGGTATGTAATTGTTGTAGTTGTTAAATGCCATCAAGTCAGTACCGATTCATAGAACCACTATATAGGGTTTCCGAGGCTATAAATCTTTGCAGGAGCAGAAAGCCTCATCTTTCTCCTGCAGAGTAGCTGGTAGGCTTGAACTGCATAATTCATAGTCCAGTGTTCCAATGCATAGTGACCTATACATGCTTCCTAAGGTGCTTCTGGTGGGTTTGAACCACCAACCATGTGGTTAACAGTTCAGTGCTTACCCTACAGCACTACCAGGACTCTCTGCATCGGATGGATAGGTTCTTACAGGTATCTGTAGGTTGGGCTGGCGTGAGCAGGTAGCCAGAGGCACTGACAATGCTAACAGCAGCCCCTCTGTGCCCACTCTCCTTCAGGCAAGCTGCTCAGAGGACATGGGCCGCTGGCTTGGCCTGCTGCTGGTGGAGATGGGCTCCCGAGTCACCCCTGAGGCTCTGCACTATGACTATGTGGACGTGGAGACCTTAACCAGCATCGTCAGTGCCGGGCGCAACTCCTTCCTGTAAGACTCTGCCCTCCTCGGGCACACAACTGCCCAGGACTCAGGCTCTGAGTAGGGTAAGGGGAGGAAGAGCTACAGAAGTCTCTGCTTCCTTGGGGAGCTCAAACGGGTGCCTTCCTCTTCCATCAAGCAGTGGGCTGGCTGGAGGGGTTACCCAGTGCCAGGAAGAAGCTGCAGATGAAACAAGCAAGGGTGACTAGGCTCTGTCCTGGGGACTCGGGACCTAAAATTCTCACTCAGACATCCTAGCAGGGATGTGGCTGATACATGGAGCTTGATATTAGAAGATCTGGGTTCCAGTCCCAGCTCTAACGTTGTTGTTCTTGTGAAGCGTCATCGAATCAGTTCTGACTCATAGTGACCCTGTATAGCATTTCCAAGGAGCGGCTGGTGAGCTTGAACCGCCGACCCTGAGGTTCAAACCAACTTTGAAGTCCAGCACATTAACACACAGCGCTACACCAGGATTCCAGCTGTGAACGTGTGGACTGGTTGCTGGCCATCTTGGCCCCTGTTCTCTCACCTATAGGTGACGATGAATTACAGGCCTCCCTGGGCTGTTGTGAGGATCCTTGGAGTCCCTGCCTGTAAAGCCCTCAGTGCAGCACATGGTACAGTACTGCTGCTGCAATCAATTGAGATCTCGGATAGGAAAACATTATACTACAATGTATCATCTCCACTATCCGTATTGTTTCTTTTCTAGATATGCGCGTTCCTGCCAGAATCAGTGGCCTGAGCCCCGTGTCTACGATGATGTCCCTTTCGAAACAATGCAGGTACAGTCCCCTGGGGTTGCTCAAGTATGTGGCAAAGGGCACTGAGTTAATAAGCTTTCCTTTGCTGCCCTTTTATTCCTTTGTCTCAAAGAGATCCCTTTGAATATCTGGAGGAGAACCCTTTCTGTCACAGATAGTGGCTGAAGACCCAGGACTCCCTTGCACAGAAAGCAGTGAAGAGAGTCCCAGATTGGGAAGAGAAACCCATTCCAAGGTCATTGAAATTGACACATTGCAACACTGTGTGTGTCAATATAGAATTATGCTCAATAGTGTTTAAAATGACTGATCTTTTAGAGATAGATCTCCACCAGGCCATTTTCTTTTTTTCATGATAACCACTAGATGGACTCGAACTACCAACCTTTCAGTTAGCAGCCAAATACTTAACTATTTGCACCACCCAGGGACTCCCAGAAGGAAGAACGGGTTCTGTTAACTGCAAACAGCAGCAGCAAAGAAAGCAGTTGCTGTTACGTCAACTCTACCTAATGGTAACCCTCATATGTGTTCAAGTAGAACTGTGTTCCATTACCATTTTCAATGGCTGATTTATCAGAAGTAGATAACCAGACTTTTCTTTCAAGGCACCTCTGCGTGGCCTCAAGCTTCTAATTTTTTGGTTAACAGCCAAGCATAGGAACCATTTGCCCCTGTAACTGGTGGCATCCACAGTCTGGGCTTTAACTCAGAGGACAGAGTCTCCCTGTCCCGCTCACTAAACCAAGGAGATGCCAGTTTGTTAACTTTATAGAGAAGCCTCTGTAGCCGTCACATGACCTGTGCCTTCCCCTCCTGGGGGACAGCCAGAGGAGATGCCACATTCAGGTCAGATGCTGCTGCATGCCTCAGACCTCTGAGCCATGGGGGAGAGAGAGAGAGAAGCAAGCTGTGTGTGGGCCAGGACCCCTGACTTGGTTGCTGTTAGAGACACAGCTCTCGCCTCTAGAACTACTTTTTTCTAGTAACTTCTTCAGATATCTTTCTCATGTCTACATTATCTTTGTCCAGACTTATATGGACCAGCGGATGCAGTTTAAGATTGTCTCAGTTGCAGAGTTTGGTAACTAAACAGTTTAGTGCCTAAAGGACACTAAAGACAAACACACGACTGAATCTGAGTTACCCTGGGCTTTAGTTCTCCGGGCCTCACTTCTTGGCTACAAATGGATAAGATAAAACTTACTTTCCAGGACTGTAGTTGCTAGAAAGAGATGAAAGCTGTGTAAAGATTTTAGCACAGGGCCTAGAAATGGAGAGATCTTACACAGAAGAGAAAACAGTATTGTTGTCAATAGCATTATGTTACATTATATTCTACTGCATTATATTAGAGTCCACCTAAGGAGCTCTGGTAGCGTAGTGGTTACAAATCGGGCTGTGA